ACAGAAAGATATGTAATATAGTATATGTAAAATGAATATGTTTGTACAGGAATTATATATCAAGGGAGCACATGTATGGTACACATATATATACATCTTGCAATCCTTTGGAATCTACCAGCCATCTATACACTGCTTGATAACCTGCCTTTTTCTCTTAATAATACTCCACAAGCTTTTCTATTAGATGTAGATATTCTTTCAGTGCAAGAGGTTTTTAGTTTGTTTTGTTTTGTTGTTTTTGTTTTCTAGTGTAAGGAACTGAATCCAAAGCTTTCACACTGAGCTACGTCTGCAGCCTTTTCAAAAATTTTATGACAGCATCTCTCACTACATTGCTACATTGCCCAGGTGGGGCTCCAATTTTCAATTTTCCTGCCTCAGCCTCCCAGAGTGCTGGAATTCAGGTGTGCACCACCACAAACTTGGTTTTTAGTTTTTGTCATGGAAAATTTCAACCATAGCCCAAGGTATAGAAAATATCATAAGAAACTCTTATGTATTCACTACCTAACTTTCACTTATTTCTTTTTGGTATCAGGGATCGAACTCGGGACATTTCGCTTAGTGAAGCAGGCAGCAGAACCACTGAACTAAATCTCCAGCCCCTTCACCACTTAACTTTAAAATTACTGTATTGACATTGCCACGTCTTTAAATCTGTTTTAATAGATGCTTCACATTCTAATGCTTAGATACAACATTGCTAATCAATTCTGTCAATGAGCATTTGCATTGTTTTTCATTATTGAAAAACTGTGAAGATCTTTATGAAGAATTCTTGGTGCAAATATAAGATTATTGCTTCAGTATAAATTTCTAGGCAAAGAATTTTTTGGTGGATACCAGGGATCAAACTCAGGACCTTGTGCTTGCAAAGCAGGCACGGTGCCACTGAGCTAACTCCCTGGCCCTGGAAAAATAATTATTTAAGAGAATGAACATTTTAAAGCTTTTGTTACTTCTTGTCAAAGTGTTCACTGGAAAGTTTATCGGTTTTCCATATCTTCTCCCAACAACAGGTATGAGAGTGCTATTTTACTACCCTCACCACCAATGTGTTGTTCTTTAATCATGCATTTGCCTGTGGGATGGGTTGACTGGCTCATTGGTATTCCTCCTCCTATCACCTCATTCCCAATCCTCAAATTAGCTACAAACAGAGACTGGCTCTATCAGTAAGATTTTCCAGGGACTGAAAATCAAAATGAGACTTGAGAATACATTCTTGCTTTGATACCCACATCCTGTCCTGCAAACGCAAGCCTTATGTACCCCATCCACGTGATCTGGGTAACTAGCATTTGTCCCTTTAGAAAAACAACAATCCTTTATTCTGGCAGTTGATGGGCTGCAGCTGATGAGCACAGATCCTGGCCAAAGCAGTGTAGACCACTAGTCTGCGAGGAGGCCAAAGCCTTGGGTCACAGTTAATGCCATGCACAGAGCTCATGTGCCCTCCTGTTTTCTTGGCCAGCCTCCCAACTGACAGACCCAGCAGGCAGAAGCTGGCTCTTTGGCCTGCAGCTATGTCTGTGGGAGATTTCGATGGCTGGTGTGTGGCTCATGCTAGAACAATCTGGGGGAACTGACATGGCCCCCTCAAGTCCCTTCACTCTGTCCTCTCCTGGCCTTGACAGTCAAGGCTCAGCTCTGTAGGATGCTAGGGATGGTCCTAGCATTGGGAACACCTGCCTGAATAATTAAAGGACAGGGAAGGGTGCAGGAGCATTGAGGACAGGGTGCCTGATGTCTAATACACAAATTTACATTCTCACTAGAAAGCAAGCTTCACAAGGGTAAGATTTTTGTCTTTTTTTCTACATAGATTTAACCTGCAGCAAGAAAAAAAAAAAAAGCTGGACATTGTAGGCACACAAAAAACATGTGTTGAATTGATTCATTAAACGGAGTGGAAGAATTAGTAAAGCCATGCACTCAACAATTCTGTGTGAGACAATACATGATCATCACTGGACTAGCAGCTCAGCAGAAGTACAAGGATTAAAAACAAACAAATTTGCCAGGCAAAAAGGTGGACACCGGTATTCACAGTGACTCAGGATGCAGAAGCAATAATATTGCAAGTTGAAGTTTAGCCTGGGTGACTTAGTGAGATCCTGTCTCAAAAAAGCAAATTAAATTAAAAATTAAAAAGGCTGGGTGCATATGTGGGAGGTTGAAACAAGATCTCAAGTTTAAGCCCAGCCTAGATGACTTAGAGTGACCTTGTCTCAAAAAAAAAAAATTTTGTTTTTTTGTTTTTTTTTTTTTGGCTAGGGATTTAGCTCAGTGGTGCTGTTCCTCACAAGCACAAGGTCCTGAGTTCAATTCCCAATACAAAAAAAAATTTTTTTAAATGGAATATTAGGGCTGTAATAATATTCCTGTAATATAATAATTTCGATTTTTTTCAGAAGATACTTAGAAGAGGGATAGCTGGGTCAAATGGAATTTCTACTTTTATTTTATTTCCATAGTTGTGCTAGTTCATATTCTCACAACAATGTAGAATTTCTTTTTTTTTTTTCTTTCTTTCTTTTTTTTTTTGGCACGGGGGATCGAACTTGGGTCCTTGCACTTGCAAGGCAGGCCACTGAACCGCTGAGCTAAATCCCCAGCCCAATGTAGAATTTCTTTTTTTTTTTCTTTTTGTTGAGTTTATTGGTACAATCTAGATATACAATATAGTTACATTCATCATTGGGATTCTGTACCTTTACATAATAGGTGTTGATTCTTATTTTTTCCCCTTGTCCCTGCCCTCCCTTCACCCCCTCCCCCCCCCCCCATTTACAAACACTTTATTCCCATTTTTTCAGTTTCTCATATTTTTTTCCTCTCCCTTATTACCTTTCCCCCACCCTTCCCACTTTCCTTACACCTTTAGCCCTGTACTTACTATTGGTGCTGCCAACTTTGGAAAAAGTCATCCCAACTTACTGTGTTGAGTTGTACATTGCACAGAAATGGACAACCACATTGGTCTAGAAATGTTAATTTATTTTATTTTTTATTTTTTATTTTTTTTCCATGTGTACAGGGGTGACACATCGTACTAAATATGTAAGGTCCTATCTACGTGGGTTTGATTACAGAAACTAATAAAGTATTCTCTAAATAATGAAAAAAGAATAAGATATGACTATAAGAGTGAGAAGCAATTTAAATATGTTCAGGGGCCATTTTCATGTCCAGAATTAAGGATTATTTTGATGTTACATCATTGCCTTTTCTCTTTTAC